ATTAAACTACTAATCTTCTTCACCTATAGATATAGTCACATCCATGACGAACCATATAAATCTTGATGTTCTTTTGTGCTAATCTTTTTTGTTCTTTTGCTTTATGTCGTCATTGTTAATTATTATTTTTTATCCTATTTTTCATGTTTTTATCGACCTCCTCTTTTAGGGTCGTGAAAAGAAAGTATAAATTGTCTACCAGGTTAATATGAAAGGCGCATATATTGTCTACCAAGTTAATATGAAAAGTGGATATTGTAATAAATGTATATAGGAAGGGTAAATAATATATACTTCCCTTTCACAAAGGTATTGCACTTGCAAGGTTATGACTTCTTTTTAAAACTTTTGAGTTATCTAAATGGACCTTAAGACACAATCCATCAATTAAAATTGTGTCAAACGAGCAGGATCCCTAAGTATGCAAACTCCTGTATTGCATACTTTTTTGATGGAGAAAGTCATTTCACAACTTTTTTCTCCTAAAAATCAGGCTAATTTTTTAAGTATAAAGGACCTCAAAACCAGCTTATCTCACAAAAAAAAAAGAAAAAAGAAGACACATGCATTATGAATGACATGATTATGCATAAGCAAGCGTCTCTCTTTATCATAATAATGATGATGATAATTGTTGTTATTATTATTATTATTGAGTAGAATGGAGAACCAGGATTCATATAACAAACTCCAATTAATTAGAAAAATACTAAAATAATGATGATAATTGTTATTATTATTATTGTTATCATTATATTTAACATATTATATTAATTAATAAATATTTAAACCTAGATACACCAATAGATGACCTAGGCAAAGGATTTTCATAACCTAATATCTATCTAGAAACTCTTTACATAGCTCTGGTTTAATAAGCCTAACCAAAATTTAATATAATCATTTTAGGATATGATCCAAAACCTGGGTTTCTATACAAAAGAAAACCAAACCAGCCATAAATCTTCCATATTTTTCCAAGATGGACAGACAAGTGTATCGATCAAGGTCGAAGCGTATGAAGTAAAATGTTTTTTTGAGCAGGAAATGTGGTAAAATAATCTTTTTGAGAAGCAAATAGGGCAGACGAAGTGTGTGTCATGCCTGTATAAAGATTCATCCTCGGCATCCATTACGAAAATGGACGGCAGATGGCTGCCTCTGCATTTTATTCCTCACAAGATAGATTATTTTTTTTGTAAGTCAGGCTCACAAAAATAATACATCTTGCAATATATTATCCGGACCGTCTATTTTTAAGATTTTCTTATGTTTATAGATTTGCTTGATTTTGAACCCTTTTTGAAGTTTAAAATTTTATAATTAAAAACAAGAAAAGACTATCGGGCTAGGATTTTTTATGCTAAAATTGTATCTTAAGATGAAGTTTAGAGGTACACCTTACTTATGATTGTTTAAGGTTGCAAGAAACCACAGCCTTTCTGTAACGTGCTTTCCTTATTCCTATTTAAGTTATTGTCTTGGCTTCAAGACAGGGACGTTACAGTCACGTAATTTCCATTATCTTGGCATCAAGAAAGGGACGTTACAGTCACGTAATTTCCATAGCCATTTGTTTCTTTTTGCTTAGGTCACTCATATGCATAAAGGTGGAAGGTTCTTCACCAAACATTGATCTCAAAAACTTGGGGAAAATGAAATAAATAACTAATTGAAAGTACTCAAACAAATGGCCTTTTGTAATCCTTCCAAAATTATCTAACTCAATTCATCTCTCTCTCTCTCTCAAGCTTGACCTGTAAGTTCTATTTTTCATAATAATATTTTCCTCAATTTATGTTATTTATTAAGTTGATAAATACATGTAGTTTAACTTAAAAAAGAGGAATTATAGATAGCCCGAAATTGTACTTTCTAGGCATGTCACTCTCAATACGTCGGATATCCTACTATTAACATCTACACTATTTATTTTTACATCTACATCCCAAGTAAGGAAGTAGACTTTTTTTGGACTAAAATTCCACCATTGTAAATCAAATCTCATGCTTTCACTTTCTCTTCCAAACTGGTCTGACACAAAATGTGCAGAACTGGCACAACTTGAATGCGGAAGCTGCTCCAATATAATTTGTGTTGGACCGGCAAAATTTTAATAGCAGAAGCCAGTTTGGCACATTTTGTCTCGAACTGACACATTTTCTTAAAAGTTGGTTTGGCATTTTTTGCCAGACGAGCACGTTTTGAAGATGAGAAACCGATCCAACATTTTTCTTGCCAAACCAACGCATGTTGGGTGTCACATTTTGGGAGAGAAAAGCGGGCTAAAACATGGGCTACTTTGGTCCAAAACATTGACATTTTTACCTTGGGGTAGGTGAAAAATAAATAATCTTGAGGTTGGGGTAAATAATGTGAATTAAAAGTAATTGTTTTTTAGGTAGAGGGATGATGCCCGAGAAATACAATTTGGGAATATCCATAATGGGAAAGGCTTTTATGCTTCCCTGCAACATAGAAGATCTATGATTTCCCTACCATCCAGCAGTCTAATTTGATCAAGTGAGCCACTCATTGTTTGATCTTATATCCAACGCATTAGAATATTTTATTTTTAATATTTTTTAGACAAATTATATGAATATGAAATTTGGTATGTGTCATCTTTTCATTAGGGTACACCTACAAAAAATATTAAAAATAATTTTTCGATAAAATATAATGACCAAAATCCCCCTAGAATCTTTCAGGGGTATTTTGGTCATTTTATTTGAAATATTTTTTTATATTTTTTACAAGTGCGAGTTTAATAGATGATTGGATGCCCAAATTTTAGCATCAAAATTTTTTATATAAAAGAAAATAAAATAAAATAAAATAGTGTAGAGAGGTGACATTGTGATTGGGGCGATCTTAGCCTTCCATTCGAAATGGATAGTTGAATAAGGAAATGTATATTAGTTTCATGTTGTAAGGGAAGCGTAGAAAGCTTGCCCATCTATAATTTTCCGAACTTTGTCTCCTAATTCACAAAGCTCACCTTTGAAAGTGAAGGAACAAAGAGAGCTTTGAATTAATTACATGAAGAGATCCATTTTTAGCACTAAAAAAAAAAAGATTGTATACAATGAGACCATTTACCTTAGGTACAAAGAGGCCATAATTACTTATAGCCATCTGATATGAAATCTAATAACTTCGGTGTATTACAAAGTTTGAAAAAATTTCTTTTAAACTTTGAGCTTGGTCAATGAAATAGATGCAACCAACCAACTTCACATCCAATAGTCAACCGTAATTGTGACCATCTTATACCAAAGATAAATGATCTCATTGTAATATATTTTCCCAAAAACAGGAAATTCATTTTTGTGAGTACTCTGGTCTGAGGAGAAATCAGGCACTCTAAATGCATAGGTCAATTTTTTTTTTGTACTATTGACTATATTCCAACTTTCCACACGGTTGCTTCAAAGTTCAAACACTTTGATTCGCGAGGCTGACGTTTGAAAATGACAAGATAAAAACAAACGTTCTCCAATTTTCAAATTAAATACATTGAGAAGCAATTGGGTCCGGACTCGATTCCATCTCAAAATCGGATTGATCTGTGACCGATTCCCATTCACTTCGACGACCGAGGTCGGTAATCACCGAGTTATGAAAAACCGCGTGTATAAGTGTCGCTATAACTTTATGACTTTTCAGTGGAGATCGAATGAGCCTCGATGTAAAATTACATTTGAGCTTAAAAAAAACAAGAATTTTATATAAAATCTAAAAATAACGGATTTTATTTGTAATATATTTTTTAATGTTTTTAATTATTATGGCAAAAATTGGAAATTCTTTTGGTTATTAATACTTATTTTAATATTTTTATCTATTATTTAAAATCTATTTTTTTCATTAATTTTTTATCTCATTTTGATGTTCTTTGTTTAATTATTTTTTATATATATATATTTTTTTTTATTATATTTTTTTTGATTTTTTTTTACTTTTTAACACTTCTTTTACTACCCGATACTTGTTCGATCAAAGCGGTTGAACCGGCCGATTTACCAGTTAGATGGTTGAATCGCTTCTAGGCCTATGTTCGATTAACCGTCCCGATTCGATTTTTCCTACGTGGTTAGTAGTTTTGCCTTGGCAACCTTACATTTCTAAGTTCGATATGCTTCTTAGGACGTTGATACGATTTTGCCAAACAGGGGCCACAAGCAATTTAGTGCATGGGCCACACACGCACTTCCATATATCAATGGTAGCGCTTGCAAATAAATAAATAAATAAACCCTTTCTCTCTTTCTCTGCCCTGCAACAAACTGAGCACAACAAGCCCAGAGAATGGAGGAAGAGAGGAGAGGAGTGCCCAAGTCCCGGTGCTTCCCTTCCCAGCCCAAGGCCACATAAACCCAATACTTCAATTTGCCGATCTGCCGATCACCTAGCTAGCAAGGGCCTCAAGGCCACCCTTGTGGTCCTCATCTGAAGCCTCAATGATATTCGTAAGGCCGATCCATCAGCCATTGCCTCGACGCACCTTGAATACATCTCGGACGATGATGGCTTGCCGTCGAATGTCAATATTGAAACATATGTGAGTACATTTCGGCATGTTTGCTGGGAGAAATTGCGCGAGCTCAGCTCATAGCTCGACTAACTGTAGTGGGTTCCTGACCGGTCTGTCTAACATATGACTCGTTCATGAGTTGGGCCTCGAAGATTGCCCACGACCATGGCCTCCAAGGAGCTGCCTTCATAACGCAGCCTCTTGCAGTGTGCTTGATATATTGCCATTACAGCTGCAGTCTACGGATAAATCCCGGGATCTGCCTTTCTCTTCCCGGAATGCCATCACTGGGCTTACGAGACCTCCCCTCGTACATCAACCAACCTGAGAGCAACCCGTTGTTCCTCGAAATGTTGTTGGACCAGTTCAAGAACATGGGCAAAGCAGATTTTGTCCTTGCGAGCTCATTTGACAAATTAGAGGAAGAGTGAGCAAAGGGATCGCAGTGTCTTGGTCCCCGAAGATGATCGGGTTTGCACTCACATTAACCTATGGTAGAAAAACAAGAGCCACCAGGACAGGAGATGAACAATGTGACCCTGCAGACTGCCTCAGTTGGCTAGATGAGAGGCCGGACAGCTCAGTTGTGTATGTCTCATTTGGAAGCTTGGCGGCTTTACCCACAGAGCAAATGGAGGAGGTAGCCGATGCCTTGCGTTCAAGCAAGCGGCCATTCCTATGGGTGGTGAAGGCCCCATATGCACACCAAAAGGGCGGAAACTCACTACCCGAGGGCTTCATGGAGGCCACATCAAAGCAAGGGTTGGTAGTGCCATGGTGCCCTCAGCTCAATATCCTGGCTCATAGAGCGGTAGGTTGTTTTGTGACTCATTGCGGGTGGAACTCAATACTGGAGGCGCTGAGCCAAGGGGTGCCAATGGTTGCAGTTCCCCAGTGGAGCGACCAGCAGACCAACTCGAAGTTTGTTTCGGATGTCTGGAATACGGGTATGCATGTCGAGATTAGCGACAAGGGATTTGTTCTCAGAGGAGAGCTGGAGAGATTCATAAGGGAGGTCATGGAAGGGAAAAGAGGGGCTCACATAAGGGAGAATTCTCAAAGGTGGAGAGACCTGGTTAGGGAGGCTGTTGCAGAGGGAGGCAGTTCTGATAATAACATCAAAGAATTTGTCACCAATATTTCCATTCATGAAGGTGATGCCAACATGTGAATTTATATATGTCTTCTATAACCTCTATCCCATTGGGACTTCATACCTATCACACATAAAAATACTTGTTATCTGAATTCCATACCATGCTGTACCTTTTATATATTTTGGAATATAAGATGTACTCTGGTCCATAAATCAATAGTTTTGGACATTGGATCTCCACCACCCCCTTTTCTCTCTCTCTCACATGTATATAAATAGGAAAATGGTTTCATAGGGCTGCAGCCCTATCAAAACAAGTAAAGCCTCACCTCATAATTCATCAAAAATTATAATTCAAGCATCGGAAAACCTTTACATTGATTATCTCGCGCCTGAGAGTATTAATTGTCAAAAAATTTGGATTTTAAGCTCTAAAAGTTTTGTATATTGTAACAAATTATCTAGACTGTCAATTTCACCTTAAAATTAAGCGTTCAGTGATTTGCAAGATCTGCACCACTTTTGGGGTTTCAAAATTTATTATCGGTGCTGGAAATTGTTTTAGATCCATTGTGGAGATTTCTATTACCGAAAGTGCTTTCCCAACGAGTTTTTGAGGTGAGGCCTTATTTTGTTTTCATAAAGCCTAGGTCCTAAAGAATCTTCATCTATGTATACATATGGCCTAAAATACAAGACATTGTGATATAGCAAAGTGAGCTATTTGATCACTTAGAATGCCGGCCTCGTAATATATTTTGAATTGATGCTGATCTGGCGAGCAACGGAGGAACACCAACATTATAATTGTGAAACCAGGAGTGTCGGACCGGCCTCAACAATTTTTTTAAGAAACGAGGTCGGTCCAGCACTCAAGTGTTGGACCGGCATCAACAATATTATTAAAAAAAGAGGGTCGATATGTCACTCTACGTGTCTAACCTACCTCTGTGCTACTATTCCTAAAAGTGCCAAACCAGCCTCATGAATATTATTGAGAATCAATAGATGTCTGATACTACAAGTACCAGACCGGTCTCAACAATGTAATTGAGAGACATGCATTTATTATAAGGGCATTTCTATTTGTTTTATTTTCCATTATTAAGAAAATGTTTAAAATTTTATGTTATTACACATATGTCCGTTTTTTAAATTTCATAATAATTTATTTAAAAAAAGATCAAACTACTCATTTTCAGTTTTTCAAAAACCAAAATTTAAAAATTTTCAGTTTTTCACAAACCAAAATGGAAATCATGGGGTAGAACGTCAAAGATAAACCAGTTTACATAGAGAGAGTAAATGGAAATAACCACCCCAGAGAACCAACTTAACATCAACCTATAAATCAATATGGGCCTCTTGTGAGGGCGCCATTCATTTAATTTGACCTTTTTGTAAACTCCATGAGAAATGGAAGAGTTACTAAAAGAGTTAGATAAAACTACAGCTGCTATGGTGAAGAGTATCGTGCCAAATCAGACATGAGAATCTAAGAAAAGCTCTTGAAGAGCAGCTCAACAAGTTCAATGAAGCCAAGATTCAGATGGAAAATCAGTCTGAAGAGCTAAACCGGCAATATGAAGAAACAGTGGTTGCAAGTCAAATCTACGAGGAATTGAGATCCCGCCTGACTTATAACGAATCTGCCCTGAAACGCCTGAACTTGTCAAGAAAAAGAGGAGAGAAAGAGAGAGGTGTTTCCTTTCAATGAATCTACGATCCAAAAACCACCAAAAAGGGAGAGGTCAAAAGAAACAAGAAATCTCTGATAACATAAACCCAAATTCTTTAGAGGGTGTCTTCAGTTCCTCACAATTTTGTAACTATTACCGTCTTAGTAATACAATGTTAACAGTTCTAAAAAAAAACCATAAACCCAAATTCTCAAAATCTCTTACCGCAAAGCATTCCGTGAGCCATTAAAGCGAAGGCGCAAGCACCTGCACTTTGGACCCTCCATCACCATTTTAGGGAGCTTACAATACATCAGACACCTCTTGCACCCCGCAACTACAAGTAATCTTCCTCTTGCTTTCCCCGATCCTGATTTGTATCTGAATCTTCCAAGTAATCTTCATCGGTATTGAGCCCAATTCTTCCTATTACAATGAATCAAACTAATCAATCTATTACCAGAGATCAGTTCCCAAAACCGTGAATACCTATAATTCGGTGAGTGAAAAACCAATGTCCGTTTTCAAAAACTTAAATTGTAAAAATTTTAGTTTTTGAAAAACCTAGTTTGGTCTTTTTTTAAAAAAAAAAAAATATTATGAAGTTCAGAAAACAAACATACGTGTAATAACGAAAAGTGATAGGTATTTTCATAATAACGAAAAATAAAACCAATATTTATATAAATTTTCCCTATATTCTATATTCTACCTTGGGGGAAGGCTGTAAAATAAAGAAAATAGTAAACGGGTTAATAGTGGAGGGAAAAAAAAATATGGGAAGACTAAAAAGTTTGATATTGCTTTGTTGTCTTTTTTTTTTAATATAAATAAAGTGAAAATTCCATATAAATATTTTTATACTAATTTTATAGTTTAATAATTTTTTTTAATTAAAAAAATATCCCATCTATATCATGTGAACTGGTAGAAGGGTGCCCAAATGGTTGAGATTTCTACCATGCACAAAAGCTTTCTATATGCCACTAGGCATAGAAAATTTATGTACGACACCTCTTCCAACCAACGGATTTGAATAAATGGTTGGGATGCCTTCAGCCATTACGTCTCAAGTGACCCTTGACCGTTTGAGCTAGATCTAATAGCTCAAAGTATTTTATTTATATTTTATTTTTTTATAAATCATATGAGTATGAAATTAAATATGTATAATCATCTCATTGAAGCGCACCTAGATAAATATTAAAAAATATTTTCATTAAAATAAAATGACCAAACTGTCTAGTGCACATGGGGGCGCAATGTCATCCTTTTTAATTATCTTTTGAATTTTTTTGCTGTGCTCGGTGCGACCACGAAGTGACTTAGCCGCCCATCAATGCCTTTAATTAAAAGGAAAAGTTTATATAGAGTTGACGCTCTAAACAATCAAATTTGAGCTTAGCTATAAAATCTCACTAGAAGAGGCTGTTTTGATGCTCAAATATCTCAAATTGATCATCTCGACATCAAGATGCATGGTCTTGAGAAAAAAATGGATTTCAAATTGTGAAAATAATGTATTTTGTAACGTATTTTTGGACTGTCAGTTTTCAAGATTTTTAAGTTTTCCATCTATACTATTTTTGAAGCTTTAAACTTTATAAATAAAAATGAAATATATTTTAAGGCTATCACAAAGATTTCCAATATTAACAATATTTAAAGGTAGGCTCTAATTTGTTTGTTTAGAGCCTAGTTTCTATACAAACTGCACCCTTAATTAAAGTCAACATAAAAATAGAACCAAACACGTGAAGGCCAGACACAAAGAGACGATAATTTCGTGAAACATGCGACAAAGCTCATTCCAATGACTAGCGGAAAAATCGCAGATGAAGCCGAGGGCCTATTTACTTTTCCAGCTATTGCGCTCCTGCAGGAGCACACTGTGTGACTACTCCTTTACTCAAAACACATACTTAGGGAGATGTGTTTTAGTCGAAAATTTTGGAAACTGGATATTTATTACTAGATGATTATTTTAAAAGAACAAAATTGAGTTTTACGTTTTACCTTCACCTGATCAATCTTAAGGCATTAGTTTTTTCTAGTACATATTTATTTCAGAAATTGTTTTTGCATAGATTATTCTATGGTTTGTGGAGATTGCATCCCATAATTTGAAATCTAAAGGGTATCCCTAACATGTGTTTTGCTCGAGAGAGTAAATAGACATCTTTTAGATAGATAGTATACTCCTCAAGGAGTAGGAAATCTTTTGGCTTATACTCCTCAAGGAGTAAGAAATCTTTTGGCTTACTTTTCTTATGTACTGCAAGTCCAGTTACCACAAAAGAGATCCTTGATGCCACATTATTTTACCAGGAAATGCATATCTAAAAGTGATTAGTCCATGAACCACACTCTATCTATATATATATATAATCCACGTTCACACTCTTCGATATATAAGTGCTAGAGCTTACAAATCAAACAAAAGCCCCCCCCTCATTCTCCACTCCCTGCACCAAACTGAGCAAAACAAGCATAGAGAATGGAGGAAGAGAAGGACAAGAGTGCCCATGTCCTGGTGATTCCCTCCCCATTCCCAAGCCACATAAACCCAATGCTCCACTTTGCTGATCGCCTTGCTAGCAAGGGCCTCAGGGCCACTCTCGTGGTCGCCATCCAAAACCGCGGCGATATTCCTAAGGCCAATCCCCCGGCCGATGCCTCCGCAAGTCTTGAATACATCTCGGATGGCTACGATGATGCCTTGCCGTCGAATTTCGATGTTGAAATATATAAGACTACGCTTCAGCGTGTTGGCTCAGAGAAATTGCTCGAGCTCATAGCTCGACTCACTGTAGAAGGTATGCGACCGGTATGTCTCATATATGACTTGGCCCTTAGTTGGGTCTTGGAGATTGCCCATGCCCATGGCCTCCTAGGAGCCACCTTTATAACACAGCCTGTTGCAGTGTGCTTGACGTATTGCTACTATGGCCGCGGTCTCCAGATAATCGCGACATGTGCGTTTTTTTTCCCGGAATGCCGCCACTGGGCTTACGAGACCTCCCCTCGTTCATCGCCCAACGTGAGGGCAATCCATCAATCCTTGAAATGGTGTTGAGCCAGTTCAAAAACATGGGCAAAGCGGATTTTGTCCTTGTGAACTCATTTGATAAATTAGAGGAAGAAGTGAAAAAAGAGATGGTGGAGCCCTGGTCCCCAAAGATGATCGGGCCGGCACTCCCATTAGCATACTTGAATGGTTGAAAAACAAGAGCCACCAGGACAAGAGATGAGCAAGGTGACCCTGCAGACTGCCTTAATTGGCTAGATAAGAGGCCGGTTAGCTCAGTAGTGTATGTCCCATTCGGGAGCTTGGCGGCTTTACCCGCCGAGCAAATGGAGGAGGTAGCTGAGGCCTTGCATTCGAGCAAGCGGCCATTTCTATGGGTGGTGAAGCTCCCCTACGCATACCAAAAGGGTGGAAATTCACTACCCGAGGGCTTCGTGGAGGCCACATCAGAGCAAGGATTGGTGGTGCCATGGTGCCCTCAGCTTGATGTCCTGGCACATAGAGCGGTCGGTTGTTTCGTGACTCATTGCGGATGGAACTCAACGCTGGAGGCGCTGAGCCAAGGGGTGCCCATGGTTTCAGTTCCCCAATGGGGCGACCAGCAGACCAACTCGAAGTTTGTTTCGGATGTCTGGAAGACACGTACGCGTGTCGAGATCGGGGACAAGGGATTTGTTCTCAGAGGAGAGCTGGAGAGATGCATAAGGGAAGTAATGGAAGGGGAGACAGGGGCTCACATAAGGGAGAATGCTCAGAGGTGGAGAGACCTGACCAGGGAGGCTGTTGCTGAGGGGGGCAGTTCTGATAATAACATCAACGAATTTATCACCAAGATTTCCATTCATGAAGGTGATGGCAACATATGAATTTATTTATGCATTCTAAAACCTCTATCCTGTTTGGACTTCATACCTATCACACATAGAAATACCTATAATCTGAATTCCATACCATGCTGTACCTTTAAACTATTTTGGAAAATCAGATATACTCTGGTAAATAAATCAAAGAGTTTTGAACACTGGATCTCTCCCTCTACCTCTCTCAATGGCCTAAAACTTTGTTTTAATTATGCAGCACATTGTGCTATGTCAAACTGAGGTATCGATCACTTGGAATGCTGGACCCGTCTCTAATATTTTGAATTGAGGCCGAGCCGGCCTTGGCTCTGAAAAGATTTAGAAGTGAGTGATGGAGAAGAATCAACAATATAATTGAGAAACAAGAAGATTCAGACCGGCCTCGACAATTTTATTGAGAAACAAAGTTGGCCTGGCATTCCAAGTGTTGGACCAGCTTCGGCATTATTATTACGAAAAGAAGCCGCTATGGCATTCCAAGTGTTCAGAACTACTATTGATGAAAGTGCCAATCTAATGCACTCCACTAGGCATGGAGAATTTATATATGCCACACTCCTATAACCATTGGATCTGAATGAATAGCTAGGATGCCCTTAGCCATTATGTCACATGTGAGCCTTGACCATTTGATTTAAATTTAATGGCTCAGAGTATTTTTTTTTTTTACTTTTTTTCTTTTACAAATCATTTGAACATGAAATTAGCTATGTTTGATCTTCTCAAGGGATCGCATCTAGAAAAATATTAGAAAATATTTCT